TCTGTGATTCTGTGATTCTGTGATTTATCCTAGCAGTTTTCTGTTCAGGAGAGGAGTGAGCAGCACTAGCTAGTCCTGCCCGTGGCCAAGAATTTGCCTCTGTAATGACTCTCAAATGTGTGTGGTATGGTAATGCTGCTGTTTCCTGTGTTTCAGGTGATTGAAGTTTATGACTTGACTAAGGTGAAGTTAAAATATTGGTGAGTGATTTAAGACCTCCCCATGGTTTCTTCTTCATTACAGTGACTGGTTTCTCTCCTTTTTTTATCCTTCTTGTTAAGAAAACAAAGTAACTGTCAAAGAAGGATGTAGATAGTTATCTTTTCTTGAACATTGCACTTAGTTAAGTTACCAGTTTATTCTTTCCTTCAGTCATGGTGACTTCCAATTTAAATGTGGTATTGCCATTACATTCATAGCATCTGTTCAGTATTCTTAAGGTAGATTAATTCTGTTTTCTTTTTCAGTGGTGTCCATTTTAACTCTCAGGCAATTGCTCCAACCATTGAACAAATTGATCAGTCATTTGGAGCAACACATCCAGGAGGTAAGCTGAAGTGTGTCTGCGAGTCAGAAGCACACCTGGACTGACAGACTCCTTTCTAGGAAGTCTTTGCTGTATGTCTGCCTAGAGAAATGTGTAAACACTTCTGCTGTGAAATGATCTGGAGTTGTGGTCCAGAAAGTTTGTATTCTTATAGCTGGGATATCGTGTAAAATGTGCTGTGAGTTCAGTTGTGACTTTCTTCAAGTGAAATAGAGAGGCAGAGAGTCGTTGGCACAGAATGGTGTGTTCAGGTACCATTAATGATCTGTTTTGAACTTCCAGTACCAGAAAATGGTGAGCTTTGTTGTTGATGCTATTGTTTTTACACATTCTCATGCATGGTCAGCTCTCAAGTGTCCTTAGGGATTAAGTATACCATGAACATACAGACATTTGAGCTGATCTTTGTGTAGAGTCAGCCAGGAGTGGCTGCTCAGGCTCCAGTGGTCTGAGGATGTGATTATATCCCTGCTAGGACAGGGTCAAGTGTGAACATGTGTATAACTGGACCTCCTCCTTGTTACTGGGAGCACTGGGGAGGCGTGAAGCCAGCCTGCGTGCAGCCTGACCAGAACCAGGACAAGTTTAATTGACCCACTCTGACTCTTGTGCAGCTACTTGGCTGCTCACCACCTCTGTAGCAGGAAAAATACGATCTTTAAGCTCCTTGTTTACATGTGAAAATGGAGAGTTTATTTTGGGGGTTTGTTAGGGCAGTGGTAAAACTTTTAAGAGGATATTTATAATTAAACTCCTCGGGAACCTTCAAGAAACGGAGCCACAAACTGGCATAACAAGAAAGATTTGACTTCATATAGGCAAGATGCCCTTTTTGGAGCATCATCTTCTATTTTTAGCTTAACCCAGTCCATTTGCAGTAGTCGGGCTGATCCCAAACAGGCTAGCATGCTTTGTGATTGATGGCAATTGCATATCCAGTCTTTGTCCCTGTTCTCTGCAGACAATGTCTTGCACGTTACAGAACAGGATTTATTAACTGTGAAGGGTCATGTGGCTAAAGTAATGTCATTGCATAAGAGCCTGCTGTAGTAGATGCATATCAGACTGAGATAAATGAAGCTTGGAGGGTTTCTTACCGTAATATTCCAAGGACCAGAAGTGGCCTTTTTAAACTTTAAACTTCTTAGCATTTCCTCAAGGTAGAAACTCTGAGATCTGTAGCCAGTTCTGTTATGGAAATAGTGTGTGTAAGAGCTTGCGCAGGATTTAGGAAGAGTGAAAGGGGTTCAATATCCTTGACAGTTTATAATTTTCACTCGGTCTGTGACAATGCTTTATTTGCAAATATGTTACTATAGCATGCTAATAACGTGTTTTATTGCTGCATAGAATTGGATGCAAAGCACTTAAAAACACAGCTTGGCACCACGTGTCCTCGTGCTGAATTTGCCAGATCTTGTGCACCTATCGTATCGAATTAAGAAAGCTTGCACACTCTCTTCATCTGATGATAGTTTTTCATAACATCTTTTCATCCAGTGACACATAAATATGAAAATGAATTCATTAAAATGTTGGCTTCTTAGCACTTCATTAGTGCATTTGCTTATTCAGTTTCCTCACTATCTTCCATCAACAGCCTACTTAGCAGAAGTAAATGCTCTATATTAATAGCTGCCTGTCAAACAGTTTGAACTGTATCGTGAAATGCAAGTTTTTGATAACTCTTTTTTTATTTCTTTGCTTTGTGTTTTCTGAAACAGAAAAGCCAAATAACCAGAATAGTTTTCAGCATGTGTGGGGGGATGATGATGGTGTTTTCATTTCCCACAAAAATTTGATGAGAAAGGTGGGAAGAGACCTTCCTCTCAATGTCACAAAAGTACCAAAGGCCAGATTTAATGAATGGAAGTATAACATAACCATCCCTTTTCTTCTCTGTACCAATACTCCTCCAAAACCTCAATGCAAGCCCTTTTAAGTTTAAAAATTTTATGTCTATCTCTGTGTGTTGCTTTGACTAGAATTTCAAACAAAATGTCATCTTTCACTTAAAACCAAGGTGGTTGCAGCAGAACTTTCCTGCAACAGGATACAGTGATGGTTTCAAAACGTATTTCAACAGTCTTGTGTTGAAACCAACCTTCAGTGAGCAGTTTTGGTTTTGCCAGATCGGTGGTTTTAAAAAAAAGAAGAGTCATCAGGAAAACTGCAGCCAGCTTCATTACTTTTTTGGCTAATGTTAGTTTGAAACGTTGTCGTGTCTTTGTTTTGGGGCTGATTGAAATACGACCACTCTGGAGGTCAGTAGCTCCATCCAAGCCAAGGTTTTTATCCCACATTTCCATGATTCTCTGACCTGACCTCCTGCTGGGAAGCGCTTGCCCTTGCCAGTGCTGCTGTTGAAATCACATCCTGTTGAGTCCTGGATGCGGCTGTTTGCTGCAGTGCTGCTCAGCGTGGATGAGGGCTGTGGGATCGAGCTGAACTCATGAGGTATAAGAAAGAACCCCATCCTTTCCTCCTGCCACAGTGGCCTTGCAAGGATAGGGGGATCCGATCTTCTCGCCCTGTAGCTCTCAGACTTTGGAGGTTGCCCAACTTTGCTACCAAGAAGACTCAACTTCTGGATCTGCCTCTGCTTTTATCTGGACCGTGTCCATTCTGCAGCCTTGCTGATGTTTGTGGCTTTGTCCCATGCTGCTCTACAGAAACATTTCCCAGCTGGTCACACTCTGCTGCTTTCCTGGAGGGCAAACTCTCTCCCTTTCCCTCACCCAGAGTGCAGCAGCCAAGAAGCAGCCTTTTTGCTTCTGTCAGCAATTTGGAACAGAATTATTCGGCAGGGTACCTGTGTAGTAAATAAATTTAAAATAATAATAATAATAAAAAGAAGACATACCTTGTTCAGTGGTGTGGTTGTGACGTGGTCATGAGTGAGACAAGAGAACTTCTGGATAAAACCATTCCTTGCCCTTTAAGCCCAAGCATCAACAAACATTGCAGGGATGGGAACTGATGCGATTTTGTATAATCAGATATCGCACTTGGCATGACTAGGGGAAAAACACTTCTCCAGCTGGCTGTGGGCTTTGGAAAAGATGCATCATAATTTATCACATGAGAGAGATTTGTGTAATTTTCCTGCAGATCAAAACACTTCCCTCTCCCCACACGTTTTCCTTTGAATGACAAGCAGGGAAAATGCTCTTAACCAGCACATTCTGCAGAAAAGGCAAATGATGACTTCTGAAAGCTTAATGCTTATTGCTCAACTATTATTTTTCTATCCTGGGCAGTCTGGCTTTGTCCAGATATCTTGTGACATGGCTCTCAAGTTGAACATCTGAAAGACACTTTGGAGGGAGGGAGCATAGTTAGATGCCTTTTCTCTCTGTGCTGTGTCATCTTGAATATAAAATTTTAAGGGGAAAAAAGAGAATATTGGACCAATTTCCTTTGGTAAAGTGGAAGAAGGCAGCTTCTTGTGTTGGAGTGTTTCTTTATTGTGTTTCTGCCTCTGCTGTTTCAAACTGTTTTGCAAGCGAACTGGGTTTTGTGTGGTAGAAGAACACTGTGTTCCTCCAGCAGCTACTGGGCACAGGTTGAAGTTCGGGAGCATCAAGCCCGAAACTGCTTCTAAGCTCCCAGTCTCCTGGGATTGTTTTTAAGCTTTCCAGTCTCACAAAACAGTCTGTCTTGTTAGAGTGAGTACAGCGATGACTTTTATTGCTGTTTACAGTTGATGTTGGGCAACTTATTGCGATTAAATTAGGACATCTCATGACGTGATGACAGCTGGAAGCCGGTGCATGCTCTAATTTATTGCTGCTCTTCGTAAAAGCTGACCCATCGGCTGCTGTTTCTGCTGATGCTATTTGTAATTATCCTTGTAAATGGCCTCAGACCTGCGTGTCTGAAGCATTTCCTCCTTGTGCCGTATCGCTCAGGAACACAGGCAGCTGAACGGAGGTGTGCTCCCACTCGGGAACGTGTCCTGGTGCTGTGAAATATGGCACTTACCAACGGTCTGGGCTTTTCATCAGCTTTTCTGGTTGATGTACAAGCGTTTCACATAACAGTTCACAGAATTGCTTTGTACTAATAGCTGTTTAAACTACTTTAGGGATATTAAGGTATAATTGATTGTGTCATATTGTATAACTGTGTCATTAGGGATAGGTTGGTGCCTACAGGCTTACATAGGCAAATCTTTAATGAATCTAAGGTTTCTTACTGCTGCACTTGTACTGCAACAAATGAAAAGGGAAACTGTTACTGTCCTGTGTAACTGTTCCTCCTGCATCTTGAGATGTAGCAAATTCATTGAGGTCCTGAAAGTAATGTTAGATCTGAACTGGAGAATTCGCAGTTTGTTTTGGTAACTCTCTTTTTGCTTTCTTTTCCCTTCTAGTGTATAATTCAGCTGAGCAGCTCTTTCACCTCAATTTCAGAGGCCTGTCGTTTTCTTTTCAGTTAGACTCCTGGACTGAAACTCCGAAGTACGAGGTCAGCAACCATTCTTAGTTAATGGGTAGTCTTTTTTGCCTCTCTGGTACTTGCAAAATATCACCTACAGCATGTCTCGCCTGCAAGCAAAAGAAACCAGTAATTTGGAAGGAATTAAACTCCTCAGTTGTGCTTCTATTCATGCTATGTAATCATTTTGATGCTAAAAATTTTCTTCCTTTTAGCAGAAGGCGTGTGCTTAGAGGTTTTGCTTGCATCATGAGCTGTGACTAGCAGTTCTGTTGTTGAAAGGAGCCCTCTAAAAATATGAGTGCTGTCTATGCAAATAGGTGAATATTAAGCAATCCTACTGGAAGGCTGTTCTTTTATCAGATACTTTTGAATCTCATCAAAGGGATTACACAACTAAACTAGGGTAGAGTTCATAAAATATGTTTTCAGCTTAAGTGTCCTTCAGTACGAGTGCTTTTAGAAAGCCAAATGAATGTGCTTTACTTTTAATGCCTGTTTGCATATTCACCAAGTGTTTAGATGAGTTACTGAATAATTGAACGTATTATTGTGTTCTCTGAGATCTTTGGAAATCGGTGACTATAGTGGAAATAAGATCAGGTCTTCTGTGATTTCCACCTGTACTAACAAAAATGTGTGTGTAACTTTAGTGTGGAAAATGCTCTCAGTTGTATTACCTGGGCTTATCAGTTAAAAAGAATGCGTACTGTAAGGTGTTGAAATAAAAAGAAGCATATAAAGAGCCAAAACAAAGTGGGGGAAATCAGCCAACAGGATGACACAGGTTTTTGTCACAGCCTAGTACTTTAGTGGTCATATTCTGAGAGAACAGGGGGTAACCAGGGGAAGTTACTGTTTAGCTGTAGTGAAGGTCAGCTGGGTTTCAAAGATATTGGAAGGTAAATAGAAACCTAAAAAGCCAAACAGAGAGAATGTTCCAAAAGAAAGTAGTTGCTTTTCATGCAGGAGTTCCCAGGGCGCTTATGAATGAAATGGCCAAACTGCTAAGAAAGTCAATTGTTATACCAAAGATTTTTAAAAGATGGTAGAATATCTCAGGGTGGAAGGGACCCATCAGGATCATCAAGTCCAACTCCCTGCTCCTTGCAGGACAACTTAAAAATAAAAGATGTTAAAATAAAACTGCTAGAATTGATTTTAGCCTTTGTGCATCTTGTTTTGGTACGTGGTCCAGTTAACTAAGAAAATAATTAGGGATAGTTACAGAATGCCTGATGTGAATATGCTTTGAGAGGGACACAGCGTGGTTCCTGGGGACGATACAGTTCGTAGCTGCTGGAACAAGGAGAAAATAACTTTGCATTCTCAGTCTTGCATCCAGTTGTGCAAATGAGTTTAGTAAAATGTTGTTTGCACAGAGTGAAAGGTGAAACTGTCCTCGGGATTAGAAATAGGCAGAAATGGGATAGTATAGAAAACAGAGGAGTATAGAACAGTCCACAGCGAAGACAAGGATTTGTGGAGCCTTTCAGGGAGGAGCATTAGGAGAGACTGAAGAGTAAACTGAAATTTGAAGATATCAAAACCTCTCCTGTTCAGATGGGGTCATATAGGGCTGCTAAACTAGTTAGCAAAGCCGTGTAGTCTCTGCTTAGGGAAATGAAAAACCTCTGAAGAAAACTTTAGGGTTTTCATATAGCTGGTAACAAACTGCAGGCGAGGAGAACGTGAAACCCTGCTCACACTGGTTCTGTTAAGAAATGAGGCACACATGGCCCAGGCACCTCCATGGCTCTGGAGAAGGTTACAAAGTGATCTGAAGTCTGACTGTTCTAGAAAGCTGTGTTTTGAGGTGTTCATTTTCTGGGCAAATTCATAAAGATGATTGAAATCGGGGCATCTCTAGACTTGCTAAGTACTGGAGGTTTCCTTCTAAATGCCTACATCAGTGAAAAGTCGTTGCTCTGGGTTAATTTTGTTGTTTGCTTGGGTTTTTTTATCCTAAGAGTAACTTTTTGTGTTTACCTTAAGTGATGTCCTGCTAAAGGAGACCAGGATAACAGTTTGCATGTTGTGCATTTTTGTTTTGATGACTGCTTGTGTAAAAGTTCGGTTCTTTTCTGTCTGGTGCCAGCAAAGTATGTTGACAGGCTGGAGGAAGGCCCTGTCATCTTCAGAGTTAAAAGAAATTAGGCTCTTACCCCACTAGAATAATGAATCCAGCTTCCTTAGCATGCTTTCTATCTGATGAGAACACTCAAAATCCCTATAAAAACAATATGTGCAAGAATGTGGTGATAAGGAGAGCAGAAAATCTATTTAATGGATGAGTCTCCGTTCATCAGATAAAGGCATTTCACAAACCAGCAAAAATGTTAAAAGGCTGAAATGAATACAGTGGGAGTCAGAAAAGTTTTATTTTTAGAATTGACTTCTAAATACAGCGCATCAGTACAAATACTTTTTATATTGCTAGTTAGCAGTGATCAAACCAAGAAAACTTAACTTAAATTCTTAGTAAACACCATGGCTAATCGTCAGACTGGTGCCATCTCTTGGTGGATAAAAATAACGAGCATTTCACCCCAGCTTGGGAGTCCAGGAGTGGTGTAATGTGTAGAAACACCATCTAGAAGGGATTTTTGTTACTGTGTTTTCTACTTCTCCTTGGCTAGAGACTTATCTGACGTGGTAAGCATACACTGTGTTTCTAATGCAATTAGGCTTTGAGCTGAAGTGTCTGCTGCGTCGTTTAACGGGATGGTTTTGTGTATCCACAGCCTAACTTTGCCCATGGTCTCGCCTCTCTGCAAATTCCACATGGTGCGACTGTGAAACGGATGTACATCTACAATGGAAACAGCCTGCAGGATACCAAGTATGTACAGCTGGTCCTGCTGATCGTTCAGAATATGCTTTTCCTTCCTCATTTCTTTAGGGTTTTGTGAATGCTAAATATAATCATACACTCTTTTGGTTTTAGTTCAGGTCTTTTATGGATTTGGCAGTGTGCAGGATGCCTTTAGATACCAACCTCTCCCAGATATTCATAGGTGTTGCCCTCAGACCTCGTAATCAAGTGTTGCAATAAACATTTATGTTGCAATAAAATCAGCTTGGCTCAGCTGTAGTGGGCTGCTTCTATTGACCTGAAAATGAATTCATTAATTGAAGGAGGAAATGTTGTGAATCTAATAAGAGGTGCAGTTGGGCTGTTCTTACTCTAGGTTGTGTTTGCATGCAGATGACCTCTCCCTAGACAAATCCAACTTGGTGTAGACAGTCAGGCAGTTTGTGGTGTATTGGTTGTGTGTGTGTCATCACAGAATCACAGAATCACAGAACGTTAGGGATTGGAAGGGACCTCAAAAGATCATCTAGTCCTGTAGACAGGCAGTTTGTGGTGTATTGGGTCTGTGTTAGTCATGGCAGGGCCCTACTGAGGGTCTTGAACTCTCTCACTGTACAAAAACAATAAAGTAAGCATTTTCAGGCTTAAGCTGTATCCATAATCTATCATATATTCAGTGTATCTGCAGCTACCTGACTGAACTTGCTATTCTGCAGAAACTCATCTTCATGCCTTAATAGTAATGGAGAAGTTATATTTTAATATGGTTAATCACACAGAATCACAGAGCGTTAGGGATTGGAAGGGACCTCCAAAGCTCATCCAGTCCAATCCCCCTGCCGGAGCAGGAACACCCAGATGAGGTTACACAGGAAGGCGTCCAGGCGGGTTTTGAATGTCTGCAGAGAAGGAGACTCCACAACCTCTCTGGGCAGCCTGGGCCAGGGCTCTGTCACCCTCACTGAGAAGAAGTTTCTTCTCCAATTGAAGTGGAACCTCCTGTGTTCCAGCTTGTGCCCATTACCCCTTGTCCTATCATTGTTTGTCACCGAGAAGAGCCTGGCTCCATCCTCGTGACACTCACCCTTTAAATATGTTTTAATGTTTTCTGTTGTGTTGTATTCTATCTTCTTTAAGGGGGTAATTTATTTTACAACATCAGGTGTTTTGCTCTTTCTAAAAACATTTCCTGGGATTCCTTTCTCAAGAAAAGAATTGAAAGGACTTCTGTAAATTTGTCCTTTCAGCTTAAAATTACTCAAAGTGATCAGTGGCAGGTTTTGCAGATAGAGTTGTGTTTTAATGCTGAGAGAAGATTATCACTTCCCTGGGTTACTGCTGAGAAGGGAGGAACCTTGTTTATGCAGGCAGTGTCTCCTAATTAGAAATAAGTGCACTTCAGAAAAACGTTATCATCTGTGACGTGGTGGGCTTTAGTGAAAGCATTAATTGTCGCATGGGGCTCTGTTGTGTGTAAAAGCTCAAAGCCTGATTTTCAGCTGAATTCATTCACGCAGAGGAGAAGGTCACCTAAGAAAAGTGGATTTTATAGAGCATATACAAACTGAGACACAAAAAAGCAGCCCTTCCATTGAAAATCTCTTTCTTGGGGCTGTTACAATTTTCTCAAATATTACTGCGGTTGAATTAAAATGAGAACTGCCCCAGTAAAGCAGAACAATTGTCTGTGGTGTCCTTGTACACGCTGAATTCATGTTCTGGGCTGTGGGGTACCTTTCCCATGGAGCAGAGGAGACCGAGGGGTGCCCTCATTCCTGGGGATCCATTTGGAAAGGGCAGTGTCAGGAGGAAGGAGCCAGGCTCTGCTCTGGGATGTCCAATGCCAGGACAAGGGGCAATGGTCCCAAGCTGGAGCACAGGAGGTTCAAGCTGAACATGAGGAAAAACTTCTTTACTGTGAAGGGTGGCAGAGCATGGCCCAGGCTGCCCAGAGAGGTCTTGGAGTCTCCTTCTCTGGAGACATTCAAAACCCGCCTGGCCGTGTTCCTGTGTGACCTGGTCTGGGTGACCCTGCCCTGGCAGGGGTTGGACTGGATGAGCTTTCAAGGTCCCTTCCAGCTCCTAATATTCCCAAGAGCAGTGAGAGCATCACAGAGAGGGCTGAATTTGGGCAGATATTTGGGCAATATCCCTAGTTCCAGGAGTAGATATCCTTAAAAACTGTACAGCTTCCATTTTCCCTGAGAGAAGTCTGGAATGGTGGCATCCTCATAGGAGGTATCCAAAGGCTAGGGACAGTTTCTGTACTTTCTGCAGTACTGGGAACTAGCTGTCTGTTTAATTAATAATAAAGATCCTGCGTTTGAGTGATGCCTTGTTGTTCCTCTTGCTTTTTGCCCAGACTTTCTGATCCTCGCGTTTAATACAACTTTTTAAGCTTAGGTCTCGGTTAAACGCAGCTTTGTCAAAATTAATGTGCTCTGTTCCAGTGAACTGGTACCAGCTTTTTAACGGAAAAATTGAATCTTACACGCATTTTTTTTTGTATGATTGGTTTTCAGGGCTCCCTTGATGCCCCTCAGCTGTTTCCTTGGTAATGTGTACGCTGAAAACGTCGACGTTCTGAGAGATGGAACTGGACCCTCAGGTTTACGGCTTCGCCTGCTCACTGCAGGTATTGGTGACGCTCAGAACATTGAACTGGTTGCTTTCCTCGGCGAAAGAGGGGTAAACCTGTATAAATTAAGTGTGGGTTATTTGTGATGGTGGTTTCCAAGTGTTCTATACACCTTATTTTGAACTTGTTTTGAAAACTCAATGAAAACCCTATGAAGGTGAGTCTGCCAGCTGCTGCATTTCTCTGGTCCTGGTGAAATCACGGAGGACTTTAGCTCTGTCCTCTGCAGTTCCATGACCTGCTTCCAGAAATTGAATTTGTCTCCAAGTGTATGTGTAGGATAAGTACATCACTGATAAGAACCCACGAGAAATCCAGAAATCTCCTGTAGGTGTGCTTTTTCAGGGATTGCAGTAGGCTGTATAATGTTGGTATTTTTGTGATTAATTCTGGAAGGCTTTTAAAAATGCCAGCAGGAGACTGCATCAGCGCTGCGGCCGTGGACTGCACTTGAAGTTCAGCGCTGTTTTCATTTGCTGTTGGGGACAGCAGTGGCAGTGCCAGAGGCTGATGAGTACCTTCTCCCTGTGTGCGCTTTCAGAGATGAGGGGGCTTTGAAATTAGGGGAAGATAAGATGACTTAGGGAG